TCTCCCAGGCTGAACCTCGCTGAAGCACATTCTGTATTCAGGTCACAGTGGAGCGGAGAGGAAAAGGAGGCTTCTCCCCGAGCACACATACACACACACACTAACTCTGGAGAAGAGGAGGATGTGCAGGATTAGCCTTCCTGCCCAATCACTCCCCGACAGAGCCACACACCAATCAATAACATGCACATGGGGAGCCGCAACAGGTCACCCCAACTTGCAAAAGCGGATCGTCAATAGCTACCCGCTCCCCTGCTTCTGCTTAAAGCGACTCCGTGCCATGTTTTCTCCCTTTTAATCACTCTATTCATTAGCTGTGAGGTGCAGAGGAAGGAAGTGCGAGGGGAAGGGGTGGGGAGAAGGGGCTGGTGAGGGAGCGAGACTGTCTCATCTCAGACGAGATCACACCTTCTAAATGCAGCGGTTCCATCTGCCGAGCATGCTGCTGGGGTGGTGTCAATAACAGCCGGCAAGCAGAGACGCGCAGCTGGCTTTACTGGACCAGGCAAGATGTGATATTGAGAAGAATAAGCCATGTCTGCTTCAGTGGAAAACATTATATCACACATCTTAATGCTGTACCACAAAGTAAAGCCACGACGGTTGTGCTATTCTGTTCATTTGAATGAAGATTACCAGCTGTTTTACACTGAAGGGAATAGACAGTATTGCATTTACATCAATAGATGTTTTAAGGGGAATTTCAAAATTCTTGGATAATTCATTCAGTGACACGTCAACAAAGTGATTCAGAGTGGTTTGATGTGAAACAGTTCATTACAAAAAGATTTAACCACTCTGTGGTGATATGAACCAGGGGTCATGATGTCTACAACACAAATATGGCCATTTTATTTATTATTAAAAACAACCAGTGAACAGACACATCTTTGCGGTTTTAATATGGAATGTTGAGCTTGGTACAATAATAGTAAATTTGAATCTGAAAAACATGCATCTTCTTTGCCTCACAATGCCCTGCATGTACCTCACTTACATGAATGAGCTTTAAAAATGGTGTAGGCCAAAACGTGATCTCAAAACAGTTTTAAAACAATGTCTCAGGCATCAAGCAGTGTATCTGTAATCATTTCATGTAATCATTTTTAGAGGCATTAAACTGTTCATATGTCTGGTTCCTATCAACTCCACTGTGAACAATTCTGACTTTAGAACAAAGCAGTTCACATCAAACCAATCAGAATGATTTTAGTTACATATTAACCACTTAATTACATGGAAATTTTGAAAAGTTGGTTTTACAAATTTACATAACTGTAATGATGCTGAAATACCAGGCAAGAACCTGGTTAGATGAGTTACTGTGAGGGCACTCAAGGGCTCCTTTATTTAGGCTCAGAATTCAATACCGCATTGTTAAAAGTAAGGACTACACAGTTATCTATTCATCTTAAGACATTATGCCATTAGACAAAATGAATTGTTCTGGAAATTATATCCATTCTACTATTATCTTTCTCTGCATTTCTTTCCATAATGAACAAAGTCATTGATAACTTGGGTTTGGGCTTTGTTTCAGGCTCTTGCTAATTTTGAGGCCCTGCTATCATTTAATTGTGTCATTTGCAGTTGCACGTAGGGAACAAGGCCGGGTCAGTAATGATTTTTTTTTTCCTTTCTTTGAGGGCATTATTTCTCCCTGGCAAGTTATAAGTGATGGACCGAGACCGGCACATAAGCAGCAAACCTCCGTCCATTTTTCACTCCATACTCTCAGCACCACCGAGATTATTCAGGAAATCATTCATGGAGCCATCCGAGGAAGTTATCTTTACTGTCAAAATCTATAAAAGTCTTCTTCGGATCGTTAAAACCAGCGGGATTGCAGACGGGTGTTTGAATAAAGCCTGGTTGTGAAGGAAAAATTTGCAGAGAAATTGACAGACAGATGCAAGAGGACATCAGTCTTGTAGGAACTAATGTGGCTACAAGCCAGAAATTAATGTCATTGCTTGTTAAAAACAAAGCATCTGATATCTTCTGAATGATTGGGGGTAGGGGCGGAGGGTCTACTTCTTCAAGCAGGACAGGGTAATCGTTTTGGTCTTCTGCAACAGATTTTCTTCATTAAGAGCTCCCTTTGAAGGAGGAAGAGGCTAGCTGGGTATTAAGACACTTTGGGGAATTCCATTTCAAAGAGGAAGACTAATTTAGGGTATCCTCCAGTATATGTAGTCATTAGAGTAAGTTTTCATAATTGGGCTCTCGCTGCATAGGAAACCAAGCATACACTAACACTAAAACTGTCAAATTAATGCTACAAAAATCTCAGAGCATGGATCTTTAAAAAAAAAAGTGATAATGCATATTTTATGGAGAGCAGATCAGAGAACAGAGCCATGAAGCAGCTAATCATAAGCTGTTTATTTGCAGAATTGTTTGTATTATTTCCACAGTCTAATTTTTTACTGTTTTTTTTTTTGCATTGTAGCTACACTCATTGACCATTTTATCAAGTATGTCTGCCATATAGGTGCGCTTTGTAGGCAGTGACGGATCATGGTGTTGCAAGGGCCCTGGGCACAAGCGTGTCTATATCATAGTTCATGCTTTTGTAAAAGATTGGAATGTCTAAATACAAATTTAAATTATGATTTGTTTTTCTTGTTTTCTAAGGCAAACTGAGTTGCAGTGCAAAAACAGAAGTAGTCATACACACATGGAAGGGTAAACACTAACACAATACTGATAATAATAGAAAACACAAGTTGATCATCATAGAAAACTTGAGGGGGCTGAAAACAGACAACATTACTTTCTTTATTTCATTTATTTAGTCATGTGTACATATTCAGTAGCTTATTCACCTCATATTTATATCCATTTATCCAGAATTTGTGCCCCCCCACCAACACCCCCAAGCTCCCCTGTGGCCCTCTGATGCCCCTACCAGACCGAGGCCCTGGTCACTAATCCTTCCCTGTTTGTAGGTTTACAGTTACTGACTGTAGCTCATCTGCTGCTGCACAGTTTATCAGCCACCCTATACAAATGGAGCAGGACCACCACAGACACACCTGCCTTATTGGTACACCTTGTACGTACACGGTTATATCTCTTTTTTCAATGCACAATTTATGTTAGCGATCCTCTAGCCCTTCATCAGTGGTCAGTTTATGACCACAGGGCCACTGTTGGCTGGATAACTCTATAAACTGCCCACTCAGTGTTCTGCTCTGCTCCCTTTGTATTGTGTATTGGACTTACAGTTAGTGACTTACAGCTTATCTTTTGCTGCACAGTTTTTCAGCTACCCTCTACTAATGAAGCACCACTGAGCAGGTATTATTTGGGCTGGGCCTGTGACAGCAGTATGGTAGTGGGTATGGCACTGGCACTGTCTAAACCTTCTGGCCACCTTACTAGACACATCTGCCAGTTTGGTGCACCTTGCGGGTGTACAGTTAGGCACTATATCTTGTTTTTTATATCTATGCACAATTTATGTTAGCCATCCTTTAGCCCTTCATCAATTGTCAGTTTATGACCAGAGGGCCACTGTGGGCGGGATAGCTCCTTTATCTGGCAACTCAGTGTACACGTTGCTTGCTTTGCTCCTTTATGGATTGTCCACTGAACTTTGTTTATTCTAGGGTGAGAAAAAGAGAGTGGGCTAGAGTGGTATAGAGAACATAAAGGAGAATGAAAACACATTAATGGCAATTACTTACACCCACTAGGGGGTCAGAGCATGCAAGCGGAGGCATCAGAGAATGCACATTGCTAATCCATGTTTACTCTTATGACTCTTGCTGCTAGAGATGGAGAAGGGAACAGAGAGAGAGAGAGAGAGAGAGAGAAAGAGAGAGAGAGAGAGGGAGACTAAGGGAGCCTGAAGTGCGAGACTGATGGATGACAGCTTTTTCTAGCGGGGTAGCACTTCAGACTGCCACGTATGTGCATGCATCTAACTTTATTTCCCGCAATCCCTAAGCCTGGCCCTAAGGCACATCTCTTAGATGGAGGGATGTGCTGGTTGTCTGGCAATCCTGGATCAAAGAGAGAACATTCTAGAGGCATGACAGACCACAGAACGTTCATTACACAAGAATAAATACATTTGGCTAATTAATTTAAAACCTATGCGTAATGATAACATTCAGCCATAATTAATTGTAAGCTTTTTTTATATATCAAAGCTGATTCAATTATAAATTGTGATTTGAATAATTCAAGTCGTTTGAGCTGTTTGGGTTTTTTACTGTCAGAAGGAGGTGACTTAACATCTGTGCTATGGAAAAGACCACTGAGAAAGAATATATGACCCATTTATAGATGCTTAGTACTTTTAAATAGAGTAGAAGAGCAGCAGCTACAGTGTACATTCTTATTTGTGCGTCTAAACCTCTATTATGCTCTTTGTAACTGTAAATTAGAGGCTTTTCATCGGCTAAGAGGTGACATTTGGGATGATGGAGTTGATTTAATTACTTTGATGCTGCGTGCGGCTCATAATCCTTTAATATCGCAACACCTGCTGTTAAGACATGCCATCGTACCACTCTCATTTTCAATGGAGGGAGCCCAACATTAAATACTTTTGAACTCTCCCATCCTGAGCTGTCAATATTATGACAGTAAGCTTCTGAGTTGCCATCCATCAGAGCACACTGTCTAATTTACAGTGTGTCATGAGGGGGCAGCGGCCAAGTTACTTTGCCTGTTGAGCAGAGTGCGGACACCGTCATCCAAAAGCTGATGCAATCACTGAAAACTTGATTGATAAGAGTTTCAGAGACTTGCAGGGTGGCAGTGATGTCCCGTAAGTAACAGCTGGGTCTCATTCTGCCCTTTGGATACGTGATGCTCCACATGAAATTCAACATTTTTTTTTTCCCTTCAACTTCCCGACTTGACATTTTGAGCACGTCTCTGTCTTTTTAAAAATGCCAACAGACGTGGATGGTATCCCCAGTTAACCTGACATCAGTGTCTAAAGGCATACATGGTTGTACACAGTGTAACTTGATTTATTTGCAACATGTAAACACAAATACAGAAACACATCTTGTTAAAATGCACTTCAGTTCAGAACACAACGGAAAAATAAACCTAAGATACAAACATCAGCAAGCTGCTATTTTTTTTATCCTTTGAATTGCCTAAACGGTTCAACACATCCATTGAGCTGCGGAACATACTGAGAAATGTGTTTGACATTGTGAGTGATTGCTGACTACAGCTTGTCTTCCTGACGTCTGACAATTTTTTTGCCTTCATCCACAGTGACAGCTGCTTTACGAGCCATACATTCTAATGAGTCGGACTAAAGTCCCGGTAACATACATGACGGCATATCAAAATACAGTGACTATAAAAAATAGCATTTTACCTGTAAACCAGATATTATCCCCTTGGCTCCGTAATTTTATCATAACATACAGAAATAAATATCCTTTATTACCGGTTATAAATCTCAATACAAAGTTTATGTAGTAATATAGCTGAATCTATCCCCATGTCCCTTTAAACTCAGGCCTGCTTATGTATCACTTATCATAAACTTGGCACTTTTTGTGACACTTTATGTCAGCTCTGAGGCTGTGCCGCAGCATGAGGGACGTAGCACTATGTGGCCTGGCCCCTGGCCTCTCTCCCAGGCTAGCTAACCCCCCACCCTGTGCTACATGCTATTTGACAGTCTGAGGTCATATAGTCACGAGCTGTCACAAACAGTCATGACAGATGTAATCCCCCCATAATGCTGGAGTCCTGGCAGCCCTTATGAGCTCAGAGCCACTGCGCTCGGCTGCTACGAAGCTGTCTAGGTGAAGGCTGGGGGGTCGGTGTGAGCGCCGGACGGCCTGTGGCCGCTCTAGCTGGGCTGACACTCGTTCCTGCTGCAGGTGGCCTGCCGCTCGATGCGCCAGGTGCCCTCCTCGTACGTGCAGTAGCAGATGGTGCACTCGTCGATCTTCACCTCACGGCCAGCTGGAATCACTGCAGTGTCCGCGTAACAGTTTGGCCCTAAACATGCAACAGAGAAGAGAAGGTCAGGATCAGAGCTTGTACAGTGCTGAAATACACGGTGTGTCAAAAGTTTGGGGACATCAAAATGCTTTTAATACATATTCTTCATGTTTTCTATGACTTCACAATAACTAGAGATGGCACAATATCGTTTTGCCATTTCTGATACTGGAACATAATACTTAAACCTTTAGTATTATCTAAATGATACTATTTTCTTTGAAGACTTCTATGCTTTAAAATGAGCCGTTTTTAACTGGAGCATTTCATTTAAGATGGCCATCTCAATGTATCCTGTTCAAACTGCCCAAACACTCTGCTACTCTGTAAACTTTACCTGTAGTACATTTTTTAATGAATCTGTGCAAAAAATGAAAAAAATGAACTGTTTTAAATTTATATGGGTGGATATGGAGTTCTCTTATTTATTTTGGGAGTCTTCATTGTAACACTGTTAAAACTATGCCATTTGGAGGCTGTACTTTAGCCAGGCTGGAGGCTGTACTTTAGCCAGGCTGGCTCTCACTGTGAGTTGTTTACATGTTTCAAATTGAGGGTTTTACTAAGAGATGATTAAAATACTCTATTTGTCAATTTGTTAACTTATACTCACAACTCAGTGATTTAATTTTATATCTGTTCGACTGGTGTGAAAAGGTTCACGGATAAGGTTGCTATGCGACAAGAAGATGACCAAATATCTGTTTAACTACATAAAAGGTCCATGTTGCATGTTTTTGTGTGCCCAGTTCTACCCAACAAATTTAGGAATAATATTGCCTTATTTTCAGATCTGCACGTATAAGCCCACAAACGTGTGTCCCCAAACTTTTGATGGGCAGTGTTCACTTTACTGAAAACAGCACCTGCTGCCAGGCAGAGTTGCTTACAATGTAATGTCCCTTTCTGTAAATGCAGCAGCTGTTAATGGACCTCACAGACTGTTTGGTCACCATTCTTCTAAGAACTATGGACTCAAATGGTCATCCATATTAAATTGGTTTATAGCCCATTCTTTCCCTTCATCTGCTGTACCTTATTAGCAGCGGTGCACATGTAAATGGCGCCTGAATAATCTCATTTGCCTCCAGTCTCTTTGTGCTCCACTTCAGTGTAACCCCAGACAGACAGAAATCAGCAAGAAGCCGCTCCTCTCGCGTGTCTCAAATAAGAACTATTACATGACAAAACCTTCTGCTCGCACACTGGAGACTTCAGCCTCAGGCTTTACATAAAACATGAGCACATTACAATGTCAGGGCAAAGATAATTGCTGGACAGGGGGATTATCTCCAAGGTGTAAAGAATTAATGAATGTGAAGTACAATGACCGCCATCCAGCTAGTAACAAAAAACACACAATCAAGCATACAGTATGATGTACAATACACTAATCAGGGTCTGTATCTGATAGAGCTGGTATCATATCATTAAGAACTTAGAGTTGAGTCTGCGAAGTCAGAAAAAAACATTATTACTTCTAAATTATTTCACTCCTCTTTTAACTTGCACACAGTAGGGGTATTAATCAACCCCCTCTAAATTTTAATGGTTCATTATATACAGAACTCTTCCACTGCATGCATTTTTAAATATACTATATGTAAGATCTATCCAATACTTTTAAATCATTGATAAGTTGATGTCACGGATAAATCAGAGACCGAAAAACAGCACTAAAGCCGCTGCCAATCACTCTCACTCCTATTTCATTAATTAAAATGCAGATTTATGTGCTAGCAATGAAACAGGTGCTGCTACTTATTACACTTCCAAAAATGATATCTTGGCAAGTAATATTACCTGACATCTAGTCAAATGATCTAATTATCTAATTATTTCTCACTATGAGATTGTTGTAAGAATATTCAAAGATTATTCAACCTATTTCTGGACATTTTTACTAGTTTTAATTTATTTTTGTTTTAAACATTATTTATTGACTTTTATATTCTTACAACAATCTCATAATGAGAAATAAAAGATACACTGACTAGATTTAGGCTGATTTTACTTATCGAGATATCATTAATTTATATATTTATTTTCCAATGTAGGACAATAAGACAAAGGATTGCAATAAACATGACCATTCCAAAATATCATCAAACTTAATAAAGACTGTCTATACAATAAACACTGTCTACATTCCACATAATATTTTGAAACACTATAATAATAAAGAAACTTACAGATCTTCTTTAAAGCACGTCATATAAATGGCCACTTTAAAGTACCATGACGCTTAAACACTCAGTGACACTATAGCAAGAAATACATTCCCAACGACATACTAATTGTGCTGTTTCCCCATCTTAGCTCTGTCTTTGCCTGTATTTCCTTCTTGTTGGTCTTCCCTGTCATGTCTCTAAGCTATATGCTTTTGTTTTTGTTTTGCTCCGCCCTTTTGTCCTGCCCCCCAGGTGTTTCTTGTTCTGTTTCTCTCTGTATTTATACTCCTGGTTGTTGTCTTGGTGTTTTTCTTTTCCTGGCCCTGTTTCGTGTTCCCCCGTTGGATATTGGTTTTCGTAGCTCTTTTGTTTCATTGCTCTTGTGCATTCCTTTTGTTTTCATCATGGATTGCAATAAAACCTCAGACTCGCGCTTGCATCCTGTGACCTCCTCTCCTTCATTGTCACACACCGCTTTATTTTTTAAATTTGGTTAATGCATTTTTTTACATTCACTTCTTTCTCTTACAGTGCACTTGTGAGACTTAAAATAATGGAATATAGTTCTAATACTTGTCAGGCTGTACTTTTAATAACAATAGGCCACATGTGGTGACTGTTGTTATGACATGACCTGCTTTACCTTGCTTTATGTCTGGGTGCACTGCATGCAGTTCTGTCACATCTTAGGCTAGATTTGTTATGCTACGTTAACATTACAAGCTTCATTGCTCAAATCCGATCTCTCTGACATGATGGTTCACACTTGTTTATGTAAGTGATTCAAATCTGTCATTAATGTGAACGAAACCAGCATCCTGAAATGACCCGCATGTGCACATCATACTCAGTAACGTCACGTGAATGAGTCGCGTGCGTCCCGTGCATCATCAGCAAACAAACTAACGATCAGAATGAGCCTTCGCTGCGAACATAATTAACTCTGATCAGCTCTCAGCTGTTCATTTTTAGTACGAGACAAAGGCAAAAAAGGTGAGATGTGTTGCTTTTCCACCGTTTACAGGCTTTAACTTCTGTTACGTATCCGATCTAGGACCACATATGGAAGTGACTCAGGTCGAATTCGAAAAGATCAGATTTGCGTGTCCACACAGCCATGAAATCATCAGATCTGAGTCACATTAGGGCAAAAAATTGGATTTGCGCCACTTCAGACTGGTAATGTGAACGTATTTTTCCCTCCTATATCCAGTCTAGATGTTCTGCTAGTATTTTAGCTTGATACCAATACTGAGTATAAGCTGCCATCTCTAACAGTGAGTTCAAAGGAGAATTCCACAGATTTTTCTACACTTCTGCATAATTCAGTCAATGAGATGTGAACAAAGTCATTCAGAGTGATTTGATGTGGAATGCCTAATTGTTGAGAAACTTGACAACTCAGATTTCTTTACAGTGGTGGAACCAGAGATTGTAATGTCTACAGCACAAATATTTGGATAGTGATTTTAATCACTATCAAAATGACCAGTGGAAAAAAAATTAAAATCTGAATCTCAAGTTTCTTTGGTGACTGTTTCACCTTACAGTGTTCTGCATGCATGTATCCACCATGAATGTGTTTTTAAAAATACATTCAGGCAAAAAACTCTCAAAACTATCATAAAACAATGTCTTAGATATCAGGCAGTGTATTCATAACTATTTCATGCAATAACTTTCTGTGAGGAAGCTTCTTAAGCTATTAAACCCTTTGGATATCTGGTTCACAGCAATGCTATAAAATTCTGACTCATTTTTCTAGAATGGAACATTTTACATCCAACCACTCTGAATGACTGTTTGCATATTAACCATTTAATTAAACAGACTTTTTGAATAAAAAAAAAGCAGAATTTCCCTTTAATCCCTTAAACTCTGGACACCAGTGGGTGGGTCCAGACTCTTTCCTCACTCTCATATCTACAGACCTTACTTATTCGTTTCATAATGGTTGCTGAATAATTCATAGTAATTACTGAATACAGAGCAATATTCAGGTTAACACTAAGATTAATAAGTGAACAGTAAGAGCTTGACGCTGGGAATAATGCTACTCCCAGCCCATTTTCTTTTTTTATTCATTTGAAACAAACACTGTCTGAAATGTCTATAATCTACATGCCACAAAAAATGACAATCATAAAGAAACATGCAAATATCTTTTTGCAATGTACGCCGTGTCCAAATACAGACATTGTAAGAGCACAGGCAGCTAGCAGAGAAACAAAAAAGGGCATTTTTGAAGGCAGGCAACCTTCCCTGCCCAGCTCTCAGTGTAAGATAGATTGGCTCTGATACCCCCTACGACTCTCTGCAGAGCTTGATCGAGAGGTTGGAATGAGTCTTTAAGGAAAAAAGCGCATGAGCCGCCACGTTCTGAAGCATGCTACTTCGACCTTTTCGGTTGGGGAAAAAAAAAACCCTCCAAATAGATGCTTTTTTTCTTACAGCAAATGATGACACATTATTCACAAAATGGCAAAAGCCATTTTAATTGCCTCTGACACTGGGCTTGGGCAACACAGATTCTTCATCTCTATTTTTTTTTGCAAGCAGGCTGCAACAAACGTTAAGAGTGTTTTTTTTTTTTTATTCAGCCTCTACAAAGGCATTATCATAGACAGAAGTGCTGAAGTGCTCCACTCAGGCAGGTAGAGGTGCATCAATCTGCATGAATATTTGGTTGATGCTGTCAAAACGTCAGCGCACTTGTATTTATAATGATTTCACAGTCTCCCTCCTGAATACCAAGGCTGTGTATGGAAATGCCACTGTCACGGCTGATTCATCAAGAACATTTAAATCCCAGATCACCCTCTGGCT